TTAATCAGTCCTTTAAATGATGATTCTGTTTCTTTTGCTAAGGAGAATGGCATTTACCTAAAAACAGCTTTTTAATGCTTTTTATTAGGTGGTTCTGAAGGTTTATTTGCACAGAAAACTCTTGAGGTCACAGATGACATTCTTACAACCTACAAAAATCAAGGTTCTGTTGAATATGAGACAGGTTTTTACATTATTTCCTTATTCAACGTAGACTCAAAAATTGATAATGTTTTTATTCTATATAGGTGGTTATGATTTGAAAGAGAGAGTATAACAAAAACAATAAAATTTGAAGCATTCAATCATGAAGGGAAAAACTAGTCATGAATCACTCTAACAAGCCTATCAGATTGGACATAGAAAATGGCAGTATCAAATTCAAAACCAGAACAGGACATAGAGATGTAAGCCCATGAACAGGACAACCATGGTGTTGTTGACAAATTGTTTTAAAAGAATCCTGGACTTTGTTCATGAAGGTTTCAATCAATCTAACCACAAACTTCTAGCAGTCCCATTCTGCAACCACCAACACATCAAAATCAATCTGTGCAACCTCCAAGAAAAAACACCATACAACAACAATTGAAATGCTAATGTCAATTATCATCATTTTGTCCATATCTCTGCTTGTGCAGATAAAATGATAGTAAGGTTGTGTTTGGGTCATGGAATTGGGGTAATGATTTGGAAATGGAAAGGAAAATATGAGGGAAACAGTGGAAAAAACACAGCCTCATAGACAAAAAAACACCAAGTTGAAACTGCTTAAATAAATCAACCGACCCACTGATTCAAAATTGATAACAAATATATGATATTACATTCAAACAAGCAACGCAAAGTACCCATCAAATAACAAATATATGGAGTCCCAAAAACATCGAAGAAAATGTTTCAGAATTGATTTTCCATTCAAACAAACAACCCAGACCTCTTATATAAAGGAGACACACAAGCACAAGGCAGTAAAAGGTAGATACAATGACAAACACAAACGGATCAGAGAGCTCACCGAAGAATACCTAGATCAGAGAAGTCGGAGTAGAAGACAATGAAAGATAGATTTGATATTGAGCAGAGAGCTCACAGAAGAATACCTAGATCAGAAACAGAATAGAGCTCGATTTGGCTAAGTTCATTGTCATCAATCAGAGTAGGAAGAGATGATTAGAGAGGGATTTGATTATGAGAGAGATCTAGGTATTCTTTGATGAGAAATGATGAAAGAGACGATGAGAGAGATTTGATTATGAGAGAGATCTAGGTATTCTTTGATGAGAAATGATGAAAGAGACGATGAGAGATATTTGATTCTGAGAGATCTGATTTGGTTACTGGGAATTCAATCGGATTAGGCAAACAAATGGACCGGATCGGATTTATCCAAATCTAAACCGTTTTAAATTGGGTTACGCAGATATGGATTAAACAGATTTTTGGATTCGGATTTGAATAAATAGATCGGGTTAATCGGATCGGATTCAGGTTATACCCAATCCGTTGACAGGTCTAGTTGGAAGGTTTGGTAGGTAGCTCCGTTGTGCGTTTTGTGGTGCAATTGTAGATCATTTGACGGGAGGGAGAATTCCATTAATTCCTTGAAAGGATCAGTGCTCGCACAACTGTATTTTTGCCTCAAGGGGGCTGCCCCTTTCTTTATACTATTTTGTGGATTTTATTTTTTATTTTTGGTGATTTGTACATGCTTCTTGATATATAGGGCTTTGTCTTGTTTTGTTTTGCTTTGCATTTTTCTTGTTTATTTTTTATTTTTGGTGATTTGTACATGCTTGTTGGTTGTGGTCCTTCGCCATCTTTCATAGTTACATTTGCTTATAATAATAAAAAAATGCACTACCCAACTTTATGTAATAAATAAAGAGTTGCACGGTCACAGAAATGCCAGGACTCAAATGCTTTCCTGGATTTCTAGAATTGTATTTTTAACAGGTGAAAGACACCTGCTCATTGATGAATGGGGTTAGGTAAACTAAAAACAATTCAATAAACCACTAAGTCAAAAACAATGGGAATGATCAAGATGTTGAAATATAAGATAACTACATAACTACGGACAAAAATAGACACTCGTGCCTTTTTTTTAAAGAACACACCAATCATCCAATCAAGAAATATCTATATAAGAGCAAGCATGAAGCTTTATAATGCTAGATGTGTTCAGATTTCAAGTGAGACTCACAAAAAGGACCCAAAAAATTCTTATGCTATTGCTAAAAAGAGAACTGAATAAAAGAAGCATACACAAAATGATATAATAATCAAATTTAAATTGTTATCCTTGGAATGAAAATTGGCATTAAGAAATCCAACATGACAAACCTCAAACACTCTTTGTAACAAGCAATAGATGAACGAGTGTGTCTCGAATTTCGATAAAGCTTGCCCATCATTAGATTCATTTGAAATTTTCTTGCTTTGTTAGGAATTCCCTCCATCAGTAAAATAAAGGAGTAAAGCATATTCTTATATTCTTAAAATGAAAGAAACTAAAAATGAATAAAACCACGTCCAAGTTAAATTGTAAAAAGACCATGTAACAAACCCAAGTTGCTCAAAACACTCATCCTAGAACATACAATGTAATTGTAACATTACATGGATAACATGAACATTTACACAAAAGTGACAAACAATACAGCAAGTTCCTAAGCTACTGGATGAAAAGTGTAATCTAAGGTCTTCCTGATAACAATAAATCCCCCCAAATTATGATGACATTTGCCAAATAAAGGGAGCAAGGAATGGACGGTAGAGAGAGTGAGTGTCAATGACTATATCAATTAGCAACAAAATGCAAAATTTATACATAAACTACGCATTCATATACTAAAATATGACCTCACCAAAAGTGACTTAACAAATTGATTAAAGAAACACGAATGCAAACAGATAGTATGGAGATGGAACCTCAACAAGAGCAGCTCTGTTAGTATATATTAGTATATATATTAGCTGTCAACCCTTTAATAATGTACCTTTAATAATGTTGTTTGGTTTGTGCTTCTACTTTCAGTTTGTAATTGTTCTCCCTCTCCTCTATAAAGGAGAGAGCTCAACACAACATTCAATACATCAATAGATACAATTATTCTCTCTGTATTTCTCTCTTTTTACATTGAATTTAACATGGTATCAGAGCAGGTTTAGAACCTAGTATTTTCGCTTCACCGGCGGGCGGCAACCTCACCTTAGCCGTTCGCCGGACCTCAACCTATTCCGTTTATTTTCTACACATACCTTCCCATCATTGCCCAAATCCTCTCTCCCTCGGTTTTGAGATAAAACACACATAGGGATACATGGAGATGAATTGGTGGTTCTGTATCACAATCTCACCTGGGTCATGACCATCCTCTATCTATTCCCATTTCAGTACTTGGAATGGCTTCACCAGAAACACCACTATTACTAATATTGGTCTATGTGGTCTATATGACAGACTCACACACACACACAACAAAGGAGGACAGACTCACAACTCACCTACTCAGCTGATACCTGGCCTTGTTCTTCAGCGGTGGCCGTGTCACAGTGGTGCTTCGCCGTGAGCCAACATAGTTTCTAACAAATTCCATCTTGGTCACCTCCACTCCACTCTTCATCCCCGACCTCGGCTGAACCAACAGAAGCCGTCACTCTCTCTTCTCTTCGCTCTCACTGTCGCCGGGTGGGAGCTATTGAATTCACCGCCGATCTAGTCTCCTTCTTGAACGCTGCTCAGACGGTTTTTTAACTGTGTTCTTTTCTGCCAATGAAGTCACCATGTGCGACGGTTGTGACCGCCGAGTCCACCATGCAAGCAAGCTGGCCACCAAACATATCCCATTCTCTCTCATCCACCCTTCTTTCAAAGAATCCCCTCGCTGTGATATCTGCTAGGAGAGACGTGCTTTTCTATTCTGCCAAAAAGATAGAGCAATTCTATGTAGAGAATTTGACGCACATGAACACACCCAGAAATACACCAGCTGCATGTGCTCTCTCTCTCTCTCGGGTTGGAGGTGAGAGACAGAGTTAAGTAAAAAAAAAAAAAAAAAAAAAAAAAAGAGAAAAAAAACAAAAAAAAATGAAAAGAGAAAATGCAAAAGAAAAAGAAAAAAGAAAAATAGAAAAGAAAAGAATTGAAAAAGGAAAGAGGAACAAAGCTCGCAAGGTCGAAAACCCGCAACGGGCACCTGCCAATCTCAACTGCAAAATCTCCACGGATGGTACCAGGAGCAGAGTCAGAGGGGTTAGTGGCTCCAATAATCTTACGACCTGTTGTCACCACATTCTTACCCTCCCAAATCATTGCAACAACAGGACCAGAGATGATGTATTCAACCAACCCATTAAAGAAGGGTTGGGAAGACAAGTCTGCATAGTGCTTCTCAGCAAAAGCACGCTCCACAGACTGGAGTTACAGGCGGGATTTTTTCCTTATCCCTTCTCTACTCTGCCACCGATCTCTTCTTTTTGCCTCCGTCCTGGGCGGCCCTTGATGGTGCTGCCTCCGTGTTACTCACGCCGCCGAGCCCGTTCACTCCCCCCTGCTCCTCCACTACCGCATATGGTGGACCTCCGAATCGGAACATAACGGTGGCCTTCCACTTCAGCTCCTTATTTTCCGCCTTTAGCACACATATCTCTGCTCGCGCATCCTTATACATGCGCTGGAGCAAAGCCAGTTGGGCATTTAACTGCTGCACCTCATTTGTCCTACTCTGAAGCCGGTGCGACAAGTTTGTGACCGCAGTCATGGTCTCCACGCATGACTTCAATGTATAATGATTGGCCTCAATATCTGATTGCGCTGCCATTATTTGCTCCACAAACCGCATAGGAAAGGTCAACGGAGCAAACTCAGGGGTGCTTGGTTGAGGTTCAAGGGCAACCGCACCAGTTATCTCTCTTGTGGACTCGTTGAGGTCTGGAAAGAGAGTGACCAGACCACGGGAAGAAGAGGCCATGTTATGGGTTGCTGAGTGTTTCAGATGTTACAGAGTGTTTCAGGGTTTGCAGCTCTTAGAGAAAAGCTTTCAGAGAACGAAGAGGTTTCAACTGGTTTGTTATGCTTCCAAGCCTCAGGCTTCGCTTTGGTTTATAAAGACAATGACAAAGAGGACGACACGCGCTCTGTCGATCACATGCATCGCCGCGTGTCTGGAGTGACTTTTGATGGCTCACCGCTCGATGATTTCTGTCGGGCACGGCTTTTGATGCAGTGGGCGCGCCTTTTGAGGGCGCGACTTTTGAGGGCTCGATATATATATACCTGTATATCTTTTGGGCAGCCTATATACACAATCCTACAGTGTCATCTACATCGGTCCGGCATGACCCCGTAAACTGTCCCGACATTGATTCCGATTAGCACCGACATTGATTCCGATTAGCATCTACATCGGTCCGGCATGATCCCATAAACTGTCCCGACATTGATTCTGGTTAGCTTCTACATCGGTCCGGCATGACCTCGTAAACTGTCCCGACATTGATTCCGGTTAGCTGCTACAATGGTTCGACACGACCATACAGTGTCTTCTATACCGGTCCGACACGAGCCATACAGTGTCTTCTACACCAGTCTACTACAACCATACAATGTCTTCCACACCGGTCTGACACGACCATACAGTGTCTCCTATCCACTTTTATTTGTCAGTTTATTTTCTTATTTTGTTACTCTCTCCAAACTCAAGTTGGTTAGTGCCTATCCTCCTTGAGTTTGAGGGGGGCTGTTAGTATATATTAGTATATATATTAGCTGTCAAACCTTTAATAATGTATCTTTAATAATGTTGTTTAGTTTGTGCTTCTACTTTCGGTTTGTAATTGTTCTCCCTCTCCTCTATAAAGGAGAGAGCTCAACACAACATTCAATACATCAATAGATACAATTATTCTCTCTGTATTTCTCTCTTTTTACATTGAATTTAACAAGCTCTATTCTCATTCAGTGAACAGTGACAAGATGCAATTTTGAACTTCACCTACACCAAGATGTGAGAGTAAATTGTTTATGAAATGACTAACCTTAAATATCCAAGATTTATAAACAAAACTTGTTATGACCCAAATATGTCATAAAAGGAAAAGAACAGGTAGGGAAGCATGTCAAACTACCTCATTTTCATTAATCCCAAATTATTAAAAGAATTTGGAGAAGACAACCTGTTTGACGTAGGCAATGAATTTCTAGTCATTGTACTTTGTTTGGGAACAATCTTGCAATGTTGTAGTGCTTGCTTGTATGTATGCTGTCACAATACAAAAAGATATGATGACATGCTATGTTTGAATATCTTTGTTCACATGGAAAGAGGGGAGGGATAAATTAGCACTATTTAATGAAATATGTTCTTTTCAACTTAAAGGCACTTCTGCCCAAGGAAGGAGTGGATGATGGTGAGAAAGGGCATAAAAAATAAAAATAAAAAGCGTAGCAGTGGAAAAGTATAGCAGATGAAAGAGATGAATCACAAATTAAATGGGAAAAAAAATAGTAGCTAGTAGTGTTGGCATATAGTAAGTAACATTCAAAAGGAACAGAAGATGCCCAAGCCATTCTGTGGCATGACAAACATACATTGGAGCTCATGATCTTCCAACAACATAAAATCGTGTTTTGAAATTAATTTTACAAACTTAGATTACAAATGTAATGTGTTTTGAATTTTCAACAAAAAATAAAACTATTGCAGAGTCCAAACAAGTAAAATACTCATAACAAGGGCACCTATATTGAAAGCCAATCAAGCAGTATCAAACAATAAATTATTTCGACAATACCCAATATCAAAATTTAAAATAATTGAAGCCCCTGAAAAAATTATCACTAGATGTGATTTATTTATTCATTCATTAAAATTATTAAATTATTTTTAATAATAATTTTACTGTGACTAACTATTGGATCTTTGGATTCACCCCCACCAAAAAAAACTATAGGATCTCTGGTTAAACAAGAACATTATATTTTATTTTATTTTATTTTACTAACAAAAAGAACTTTGTTGAACTTTCAAAGATCAAGATCCCCTCTTCCTCCTATATAACATAATAACAAATTTGATCTTCACATCAAAAACCAGAAAACAAAAACCAGAGAGAGAGAGAGAGATGGGGGTTTTGATTAAGCAATAGATGCAGTTCTGTTATTCTTCTTCTTGATGGTGATTTTAGCAGCTCCAGCTTTCGATGCACAAGTGTGCTTTCCTTCTAAGTTCTTCCCAAATTTCCTCGTTGACCTCAATCTCTGGTTCACAAGCGAGTACGGTGATTACTTGCTCATAGAAAAGCCTTCTTTCTTTGTTGGGCTTATGTGGCTCGAGCGTCTCTTCCAATGGCCACTTGCCATTGCAAATCTTTATGCTATTCTTGTGGGAGGGAAGCTCTGGTTCAATTCTACTTGCCTAGTCTATGGAGTCTCTGTTTTTACTGGAATGGTATTTTCCTTTTTCTTTTCATTTCTTTGTTTGGTTCTCGGGAAAATTTTGTATAATTTATTGAATTGCAATTCAAGAGGTGGATTTCACACTCTCATTTTAGTCGTATTGTTTTGGCATAGTATGAAGGATAGCGTTCGACTCCAAAAAAAAATAAAAAATTATTTCACAAATTTCACGAAAGAGAATTGGTAAAGGAGATGTTATGTTTGAATTTTATGAAAAATGAAAGAGACATTAAAATATGTTTAGATTTTTTCACTTTATGTTCTTATTTTTTACTTTATAAATTATGATCCAAACATTGGACCAAGTACACAACACACATGATTTAAATTGACCTAGTCTGGTGATTGTTAGGTCCAAATGTCCCTATTTTATTGGTTCAGGGCAAAAATACATCAATTTGGTGGTATCCTAGAATGAAATACAATAATTTTAAATCTTACACTATTACTAGGCTAAAAAAATAAGGATATGGTCCAATAAACCTAAATTCACAATCTAATCTAAATTAAAGGGGCATTATAGACTATGTAAGTCGAATTAAATAATTTTGCTTCTAAAAGTGCCAGAAGAGTAATATTTTACTGGTATGTTCTTTTTGTTGGTTTAGTTTTTATTTGATATGATAACTAATGTTTTTTAATTTTTGTAATGATTTCTTTATGTCTTGATCATGAAAGTAAATTTAGTATATAATTTTAGTGATTATATATGCAAGTGGAATATAGGCAAGACTTTTAAGCAGAAACCACTATTTCCCTAGCTGTTTCAATTATGAAGATGTGAAAATGCATTTATCTCTATTAAATTCCAATGACTTGCATGTAATAATTGGCAAAGTCAGATTTATGGCTAGCCATTTCTTTGAATTTTAAGCTCAAATGTATATACTATATGATTTATATTATTTTACGGTGGCTTTGAACAATGAACAAAGATATCATAATCTTGCATTTCAGCAGGTCTAAACTCCTACCAATGAGTGCATTGTGGTTATGGTTTTGCATAAATTTAAAAAACGGATAAGCCACTAATGCAACTCAGTTTCTGGTGATTAAGGATTACTGATTATGATCCTGTTCTGATTCCTGATGTATTTAGTTACAATCAAATCTTGATTAAGGTTCAAATTTTTTTTTTATTTTTTACAAATTATAGGACATGGATGAATGTAATAATAATTAATAAAGTAGATTTAGCAAACATTAGAGTCCAAAATTAGTGTTTGAATCTCTTCTTAATTTTATTCATGCTTCAGATTGCTGTATTAGCAGAGCTGATATTGTCTTCCAGAATCACGAATGTATTGTTGATGATGTGCCTGTTTGGTGCAGCTTAAAAGCTGCTTATTTCAGCTTTCAGCTTAATTTAAGCTATTTTGATGTGTTTGGTTTAGCTTAACAATGCAGCTTATAGTTTTTTGTAAGTCAGAAATCAGCTTATTCTTTGAGTGGGGCAGGAGATGCTTAATTAATAAGTCAGAAATCAGCTTATGTTCATAATTATAAGCTATAAGCTGTTAAGGCATAAGCTATAAGCACTTTCCCACAGCTCTACCAAACAGGGACGCCGGAGTCCCTGCATTGGCTTGAGATGCAACTCGTAACCAAGATTTGGTACAACTGCCTTGCATTTCCAGAACTGCTCATGCCAGTTTCGATATATGTCATGCAATGCTAGCTTGAAATTCTTAATAATTTTGTGATGAATAAGCTTTACTTGTTCTATGTTGTTATGCAAATAACAAAATTTTGGAAGTTGATTTTTTGAGGTATGTTAGAAGTTTGTAGTATCATTTCTTCAATAGGCAGTGGCATATCACCAAGTGGTCTCACTTGATACAAAATATTTCATAAACGATTTGTGAAATTGTTTTGGATATATAGGTTGAGGTAGAGTGACTTATGGCTTGAGATGCAACTCGTAACCAAGATTTGGTACAACTGCCTTGCATTTCCAGAACTGCTCATGCCAATTTCGATATATGTCATGCAATGCTAGCTTGAAATTCTTAATAATTTTGTGATGAATAAGCTTTACTTGTTCTATGTTGTTATGCAAATAACAAAATTTTGGAAGTTGATTTTTTAAGGTGTGTTAGAAGTTTGTAGTATCATTTCTTCAATAGGCAGTGGCATATCACAAAGTGGTCTCACTTGATACAAAATGTTTCATAAACGATTTGTGAAATTGTTTTGGATATATAGGTTGAGGTAGAGTGACTTATATATTATTTAATATATTACATAAATATGTAATAATATAATAAAATATTAATATATTATTTTCGGGCTGGGTAGGGCTACACATTTGAATGAACTCACCCATTCATTAAATGGGCCTAAAATATTGGTTCTCTCTAGCCCTACGGGCCAAATTATCCTTCTCAAGTCCTGAAAAAATAGGGGTGGGTGGGTTGAGCAAGCCGAAAGGTCAATGTCCACTCCTATCTATGATAGTGTCTTTTTTTCAAACTATTTTAAAGTCAACCTAATAAAAACAATATAAGAAAAGTTGATGATAAATCCATATTGATGGGTGTGCATGGTATTAAGTCTAAGATTTTGCATGTTTGTTGGTGATGAGGACACATTTATTAAAATAGTGGTGAGGACAAGGCACGCAGCCAAAGTAATAGATTTGCTAGAAGGCTGTGCATAGTTTTAAAATCAGTTGTTTAGAATGTGAGATTCACTGTTTGTGAATTTCATGTAATCCAATTCTGAGTTCAGAACTCTTTAATTCATGTTTTGTGTTCAATCAAAGATAACTGGGGTCTGGACTTCTAATCCACATGGACATGTGTTATCTTCCATGTAGGAAGGGTGAGACACAGAATAGGAGATTGAGGAGAAGTTTGGATTGATTACTAAGATACAAAATTGGTAGAACTTTGTTAATCATTGTAATCTTGGGTAAATCCAAACATAGGATGAGTACACAATCCAAAGAAATTGATAATCACCAAACTAATCGCCCTCAAAATGTTGGGCAAGTTTTGCAGTATACTAAAATAGTCAAAAAATTACTATTAAAAAATCAACTTTACTTTTTATTTTTCAGCATATTTTTTGTAAAAAGTCAAAAAGTCAAACTAAAATAGCTAATTCGCAAAACATCTACTTCAATGCGTCTAAACAAACATGTAGAAATTATTCAATGCTCTTACAGAAAATATAGGTGGTGCTCTAAAGTAGTAGTTATTGGTCTAAACTATGAGTTCTATTACTTTTGTGTCAGAGTTTTAGGAAATAACTGATTAGGTATCAACTTGTAAATGGAATGGAGTATTGCTCCAGAAGTATTGAATAATTTTTTTTTACAAACATGGTCTAAAGTTAGACTACCCTTATCCCTACAACTACCATTTTCAACGAAATTTAGAGACTTCTCAACAAAGAGGCTACATATATTATACCCAAAAGGGCGCGTCTATTGATAATTTAGGAGAGGAAGTGAAGGATTTAGAAGAGTAGAGTTACTTAACATTATGTGTTATAACGATTCTGATGTAGACCCAACCTGTTTATTATTTTGGATCCGGGATTCCTTATCTTAAATGGTTGCTCATACCCTTAAACATCCTATTCTTAATTGAGTTTGGTTATTTGGAAGTCATTATTGCGTTTGGAACAGGTTGGGAATTCGTTTTTCAAAGGCGTCATTGCCCAGATTTTGGTTAGTTTGCTCAAGCAGTACTTTGGTCGCTCGAACGGTCTTTGAGAACTTCTAGTATATTTGTAAGTCTGCAAAAGTACTAGGAGTGTAGTGTTTTTCGCTTGAGCAGTCTTTCTTGTGCTCAAGCGGTTAGCCTCTGTCTGCAAAACTTCTGGGAGGGTGTCATTGTGCGCTCAAGCGATAACTTTGTTCACTCAAGCGACCTCACTTATTGTGTCTGGTCGCTCGAGCGGTGTTTTGGTTGTTCGAGTGGTCTGTGCGCATATCAGTCTGTAAAAGTCACTTTTTGAGTCATTTTCTCATCTCTTTCTCTCTCTCTCTCTAATATTTTAAAACCTCAGATCTTATCTCTCTTTCTAGAAACCATCTGTCAACCTCAAATACACATCAATCTAGTGGTTTCTCAACCCTTGTCCCTTGGAGAGAAAGATAAAGCATTACAAGGGCTTCGTTCTAATCAAAGCAAAGTTGATTTTCGACTTCGTCGAGGTTTCTCCACTCTCTCTCGTCTCTTAACTTCGAGGTAGGGATTTCTCTATACTTTAATATGGCTTTTAACTTGGTTATTTTTCTTTTTAAAGAAATCTTGAGATTTGGAGATTTTTGAACAAATCTAAGGTTTTGGTTTAAAAATCAAAAGAGGGGTTTTAAATAGGTTCTTGGATATGGTTGTGAGATTGCAAATGTGGTTGCATTGTGATAAAATGATGTATTTCTACCATTGGAATTGATTTATAAAGAAAAGGGGATTTTTGCCCTAAAAATCTTGAATATTCGATTTTGTAAAGAAAGAAATGGAAATGATGTTGGATTCCTTGTGAAATCGGAATGATGATGATAATGGTGGAATTGGATATGTATTATCATTCCTATCTCAAAGTTTTGGAAAGGATATCTTTATTGAAAATTATCTATCTGTTTAGAAATATCTATTTTGGGCTATCGGTGGAGGATTGCATGAGAATTAGGAGAATTGAAACTAATTTCTCATCCATTTACATTGAGCATTGTTGCATACTTAACACATTGAAATGTATATTGTTTTGAGAAAAATAGGTGAATACCTTAGTGAATTTGGGCAGGAGGTATAGTTGTAGTATTATTATTGGCCTATGTATCCTTGATGAAAGTCCAAAAATCCGCACGGCTAGGCGTCAAGCCTTCTAGTTAGTACCAGTAAAAATGGCACTGGTAGTGCTTGTATAGCCTACTGGCAGACACATACCTAGAGATTCCAATGTTCGTACCCACTATCCTGTTTTCTGTTGTAAAGGACATGTTTTCAAGAATTGTGATATAATCTAGCATTGCATGGTTTTGAAAAGAGATATAAAATGTTTTGGCACGGGCATTGCATATACATTCACCTTATAGCTTTGTTAAAACTCATACACTGTGTTAAGAGTATCCCTACTGGACTTTAGCTCACCATATGTGGAAAATCATTTTCAGGTGTTGATGATATTCCTCTGCCAAGGCCGTAGCTTGGGAGGACTTGGAGCCAAGAGTTTCTTTTATTATTGTTGTATTTACCTTTGTACAAGTCTAGGACTTTATTTGTATTGAGTTTCAAACTCACTTTTATTATAACCAAATATCATCTTAGAAAGTTGTACCTAATAGGGCATCACTTTATTTGTTTAACTTTTATTTTATATTGCTTATTTGTGGCACATGCCATAGATTCAGGATTAGGACTTATGAATGTATAATTGCATATGTTCTCTTTTGTACAATAAAATCATATAAAAGAGAAGAATACCATATTAAGAAATATAATCCTATTTAATAATTGTCGTTGGATGATTTTATTGTTATATTTTTGAGGCGTTACATGTGTCAACCTAGTTGGATATGTTCTTCAAAAATAATGCTAGTTTTGCTTTGCTTTCTTGTTTGATGTAATCTATTTATACTACTTGTACTTTGATTTACACCATTAAACTTATTTTTGTCGATAAAAAAAATTATTTTAATTTACTTTTAAGGGATGGAACATAAGTATATGGAGGGTTATGAGGTAGAGAGAATACAAATATTTTAAACACTGCTCTTCCCCTTCAAAATTGGGATGAAACAAAAAAGAAAATGAAATATTTGTTAATAGCAATATTTGGTAAAACCTAACTAAATATTAACTAACTAAACAAGTAGGAGAACACCTCGCCTCCTTTTCTTTCTCCTTTCTTTCTTTCACTCTCTTCACTAAGGTTTTCCTTCTTTCTCCCTTCACTCAATCTAAATGGAGTATAAAGGAAATAGTGAAACTTGAACTAAAACAAGTACACATATTAGTGGCCCAAAGGATAAGTATCTGGCCAAGGCCTGTCTTCGGTCTATATATGGGTTGGACCAAAGCTAACTGGACAAGTGGGCTTACCATGGACTTACTCTAAAAATTTGATATGTTTCATGAAAAAATTGAATTAATTAAATTATCGTAATCACATGATTTTATTATATTTATATTTATAAAAAAAAAAATACAACTGTGACTTGATCATACTCATATAGTTTCATTATACTTATTTTTTTAAAAAAAATAAATATTATGATTTGTTCATACTCAATTTGAATTTGGAATTTATTTAAATTAAATGTAAATAAAAATTTGAATTATTATTTCTCCCTCTAATTTAATCATTATCTTTACTACGAAAG